TTTAACTCTTTCTGTGGTCTGGGCTCTCTCCATTTCCCACAGGGCTTGGGGTTGGATTCCTGGCGCAGGAGGTTTTTGGTTCTCCTCTGGAGGTTCCTTACTTTGTAGCCTCTCATCAGGCAGGCAAGCCCTGCCACTTCCTAGGTCCCTTCGCCCCCTCCAGCTCATTTCCTCGGCTTTTCCCTTTCCTCTCGGCATCTCAATCTCTTTCTCTCAACCTCCTTTTGCCGCCTCCATCTCTCCCGGCCACAGCCTCCCGCAATGCCCAAGCCAATCACGCCCAGGCGTGCGCCTGCTAACGGTGACAATTTCGTCCCGGAGCCTGCCAGGCAGTCATCAGCTCTACTCAATGGCTTGGAGCACCTCGGCGCTGTTCAGCGGGAAGTGGAACTTCCTTCCACCCCCCGTTGCCGGGCTGATTGGCAGCCAGCCGGGCTGGAGGCGGATCGCGAGCGCGTGTGATTGCTGCTGGGCTTAGTGGCAATGTCAGGGAGGCCCCAGGAACTCCAGCGGCTAACACACACAGCATGCTGAGAATGAGGAAGCGGCCTGAATCCCTCATCCAACCCTCTGCTGCCTGGCCCTCTGCAGGGTAGTGATGAATGAGGTCCCTCACAGAGTGCCCCTAAGCAGTGGAAGCTACGGAGCCTTGTTTTTCCAAAGTAGTGAGGCCGGTGGCCAGAGGACATCAGCTTTCAAAGCTGTTGAGGAAGCCCGTGGAAGGAAGTTCTCGGCCTTCAGTAAAATCAGGAGCAGCCAGCTCACCGTGGCTTTTAGTAGCGCCAGTCAAAATGAGCCTTTCTTTACTAACAAGAGATACCCACAATCTTCAACTTCTTTAGCTCCAATTAAACTCATGTGCGTGCACCCTACCCCCAATAAACCACAACAATTAAGAATCACTATGTTTCCAAGTTGGGTTTCTTAATGCAGGCAGGAGAAAGGCAAAGATTAGGGAAGGAACCAGCTCTGACTATTGTCTGAACGCTCAGAAGGGAAGGGAATACCCTCTCCAGGAAAACGACTTCCTTTCATCTAAAGGGAACTGACATTTTCGCTCGGACGGCCAGAATCCAAACCGACAATAAAGTGCAAGTATCAAAAGCCCCGCGCGTTTCCCCGGGTGTCTGAGGCTCTTAGTGCGGAGCCAGGCGACCTTGCTCAGCAGAGAACTCATTCGCACACTCCGCTCTTCTCTCCTGATCTCCCAGGATCTTTTTTTTTTTTTTTTGTATGGTTTTATTTTGGTTAGTATGTACCAGTTTAATTTCTTAGGTTGAACCTACTATTCTAGCGTTTCCTCACCAAATCCCTCCCAGGCTCTTGAGTGAGAAGCGTCATTCAAAAGCATCTAACCACACCGGCCACTTTAGGTCTGTAGAAATAAATCAATAAAACTGGTCTTGGGGCTAGGAATACATATGAAGAAAATGGGTCCCGGGAGATGACTTTTCAGAAAGCTTGAGGGGATGCGAACACAAAAGCTAAAGCCAGCGTTTCCATATTGTGTAACGGTGGCAAGTTGAACAGAAGGTCACCTGTTTTGCAACTGGCCTTGTGTGCACTGGCATTGGCGGGGCATTTAATGGATTGCTTTTGTCTGAGGTGAAGACAGTTGGCAAGTGGTTTTATTTTATTGTGTGTGTGTGTGTGTGTGTGTGTGTGTGTTTTTCTTTGAAAACAGTTAACTACAATATAATTAGCTTTGTTTGCACCAGCCAGGGCTGCCATTGATGAGGTGTCTAGGGGCCTTCTGGTATAGGTGCCTAAAAGCTTAAACTGGATTTAATTATTATTATTACTCGATGTCAGGCTACATAAATGAAAGGAGATAAACAAGAATGGCTCGCAGCTCCACTGCCTTGCCCTGTGATTCCATCACAGCTTACCAGCAGAGCCAGTGGGAGCTGGCACAAGAAATCTCCAGGAAGCCCCAGCTGCTGAGGATGATGCTTCAACTTGGTGGAAGGTTTCTCAGCTGCTGAGGAGGGGGTAGGGTGGAGGCCTGATGTACTTTTATTTCCTCTACAATTTTTCTTCTAAATACTTTGATCGCTGTCTGTTATTACAGGGAAAGAAAGCAAATAACAGAGAGTTGTCTCAAAGGTTCATGGTTTTCAAATGAAGCCTCCTGGGCTCTTAGCAGTTCTTTGATTGCCCATCCTGCTGCCTAAAATATCAGTGATAGCTCCACTCAGCAGCTGAGCTTAGAGTCAGCTAACCCAGGTACACAGACAGGGCTTTCCCACCTGAAGGCCAGCAGGGAGCAAGGCAGATGGCCCAGATCTGCCCACTTTCCCTACAGTTTATTTCATCGACAGGTCAGAATGGAAGCAGATGGTTTGCCAGAGGGCAATATATTGGCAGACAGCGCCTTGTTTTTTAGGTAAGAGACAGGCTGTTAGGAGTAAGTGCTTGGCACTGAATTAATTAACCCTAGCGCTTCTATTGAGGGATGACCTCTTTCTACCTTCTTGGATTGCAGAGAGAATGAGCTAGGTGGCCTGGAATGGACAGAAGAGCAGAAGATTTAGTAGCATACCAGTTTATAGCCCTCCCCCCCACCATTCTCTAGAGTATGTGTTTGCACAGCATGAGGACAAGGATCATGGGCCGCAGGGCTCTTCACTTTTTCCAGGAGGAGTTCAGGCCCCAAACCAGAAAACCCACAGGTAGTCTGACTTCTTCTCATAATTCCTTCCCAGGCAGTCTATTGTAGAAAGTTTTGTAAGAGAGGTGTCTTAGTTAGGCTTTCCATTGCTGTGAAGAGCCATCATGACCACAGCAACTCATAAAGGAAAACATTTAATTGGGGCTGGCTTACAGCTCAGAGGTTTAGTTCATTATCATTATTTCAGGGAGTATGGCAGTGTGCAGGCAGATATGGTGCTGGAGAAGGATCTGAGAGAAAGAACTGGAGGAGCTGAGACACACCTCCTCCGACAAGGCCACACCTCCTAATAGTGTGATCAAGCATTCTTACACACAGGTCTATGGAGGACATTCCTATTCAAACCACTATAAGAACCCAACAGGCTATGATGTCAGGCACAGGTACTCCTTTAAGGGCTGATAGGGAGAGGTCGCCTCCCAGGCTCTTTCTTCAACAATAGTTCCATCTTCATCGATACCAGTTAACTGCTGCTAGGCAGCAGACCAGCCCCAGACACAGTGGCTTAAGTACTGCTTACTCACTGTCTGAGTCCGTGGGTTGCCAAATGGGGTCAGGCTCACCTGGCAGTTCTTCTGCAGTCTTAGCTGGACTCACCCATGCACCTGTGTCAAAAGGGACCCCACGCATGTGGTGGCTGTTCTAGAGAGCCCTGTGACATCTAGTGATCCACCCTGAAACCGTTTTCCTGGAGATGCTGTGCAAAACTAAGCCCCACCCCAAAGGTGCTTGATGACTTGATTATTACAACACATTTGCAAACATTGCTTGGGTAAAGCAGATCAAGAGACTGAGCCCAGACTGACAGCTAATAGAAAGGCTGCCATCTTGGAAACAATATACTATGCTGGGAGGAAAAAAGTCAAGAACAAAGGTCAGGCTTTCCTATTCTCAGGCATGATATTTCAACATGCTAGGGCTAGAAGCCATTCCTTCACGTTTCAACACTCAGTTTCCATAACTGATGCAGGGATAACATCTATCTCACAGAACTGACCAATAGGGCTTGAGAATCTTGGCTGTGAGGCTTCTACAGTTGTCAAACGGATTTACAACTTCTCAGGCCGCCTACTCATCTGCACAAGCTGCGTTTCCCTAAGGATGGCAACTAAGAGGGGGTCACATAACATCCATTTGAGGTTCCCCTCCCTCTGGAATCCTTGTCTAGCCTTCCTTCTGGTGAAAGCTGAATGGAACTGTCTTTATACAGATACTTTTATTTATTTTTTTCTGAGATATATTTTGATTATATTCTTATATTCTTTTCTCCCTAGACCCTTTCTCCCCACCCCCAATTATTCTCTCTCCCTCTCAAAACACACACACACACACACACACACACACACACACACACACACACACACCCCCACACACACACCCAAAGCATTTAAAAAACAAAATAAAACATGGAGTTCTACTGTGTTGGCCAACTATTCCTGAACATGGGCCTGCCCTCGCGTGTGGGTGAAATGTAACACTATCAAGTGCAAACAGCTGCTTGGTGACGGGTAGGACTGCGTGACCACTTCTCAGTGCTGGGGTTTTTGTCTGGCTCCGGCTTGTACAGGCTTCGAGGGTCCGTACGTTCATCAGCTCCGTCGTGCTTGCAAAATGTGTTTGCTTGAAGTCATCGACCATCTCCGACTCTTAAAATTTTTCTGCCTCCTCTTCCACACACAACCATGAATAACACAATCTTGAACAACACTTTTAACTCCTGCCAAGTCGCACCATCGAGCTTTCCGGCCGTACTCAGAATTTAAAGTTTAATTTTCAAGTTTTGCATTTGCGTTCTAAATACGACATCTGATGCTTTAAAAACAAACAAACAAACAAAAAAAAAACAAATGTTGGTCGTTTTAGAAAACAGTATTAGTGTACAGTACTGGGGAGGGGGCTCATTCATGTGCTCAACAAAAAATATGTAGAGCACCTACTGTGTGCCAAGATGGTTGCAAACCTTCCTGGGGGGGAAAAGAAAGGCTCTTCCTTGGTGGAGGTTTGACGAGGCAGGGGGTGGCTGGATGGGGGGTCGGGGGGTGGCTTCTCAGCTTCTGTGTTGGGGGTGACATCCACCTGTTCGCCAGCCTCCCTCCCTCACCGCAGGCCTGGGACGATCAGGTCTGGGGTTGTGTGCGGGCTTCCTCCCCTAGAACACGCAGCCGGTGGCCTGGGGTCCGCGGGGCGCCGTCGCCGGCGCCGGCCCTAGGCTGCTACAGGGCAATGGTTGGGGCCCAGCTCCTCCTCCCTTTCCTCCGCGGAGGCTGACGTGGAGGCAGCGGCGCGGGCGGCCGCGGGAGGCGGCGGCGCGGAGGCTCGGAGGCGCCCGGCCCTCTAGGGGCTGCGCGGGGCCGGGGTGGCGGCGGCGGCTCCGGGAGCCGCGGGAGGAGAAGGGAGGCGTCCGTGCAGACCGCCGGCGCACGCGGGAAGAGACATGGACGGCGACCGCACCGAGAGCGACTGGCAGGGGCTGGTGAGCGAGGTGAGGCCGGGGCTCTGGGCCGGCCTCCGGAGCCGCTGCGGCGGGTCCGCCAGCCCGCGAGGCCGGGGAGCAGGTGGCCGCCGCAGGGTCTGTGGGCGCGCGGTCCATCCCGCACTGTCGGGCCTGCGGGGGCGCCGCGGTCTCCCGCACCATCTGGTGCCGGGCGGTGGGGAGGGGCCTCTCGCCCGCCAGTGTTTGGCCTAGGATTGGAGAGACCGAGAAGCCCTGGGATCCGGGAGGGGAAGGAGCCAAGCCCCACCTGCCTGCCTAGTCACCACTGTTTTGGAGGCAAGCGATTGGATGATTCCTGGTGCCGAAAAGGTGACGCCTCGGGGACCATCCGGGCCCTTGGGCAACTACTGGGCAGGTGGCATGACTTGGAGCAGTGGTTTGGGTGAAAAAGTTTGGCATCCTTGCAACGGTTGGTTCCTACGTTCACTTACCCCGTTCATTCAGTTCCTGTTTCTTGCACCTGCTGTGTGTGAGGTAGTGGAGCCGTCCACTTCCCAAAGGAAAACGAGACAGGCACAGAGGTGATTTGACCGGAGGAAATAGAGGACACCACACCCTCTCCTGTGCTAGAAACACTCCCCGGAGTAAGCTTTCAGACTCTCCGGCTGCCTCCTCCTTTAATCCACCCAGAGTTTGTTGGCTCTGGACAGGCTGCTGGCTTCTCCCGGTAACAGAGACGGTGAAGTCTCCTTTCCCCAAGCAATTACCACTCACCTCCACCATCCATTGTCTAGCCACTTACCACCCAGCGTGTGCAGGGCCAACGCCACCCCTTAGAGAGCCTATGCCCTCATTTAGTTCCGTTGAGCATTGGTCTAGCACTGGGAAGTCGGAACCTTCAGCAGGGCGGATGACCCATTCTGTCTCAGCCCATCTCTATCTACTCCATCTGTCAGGCTTTATGTCAACGGATAGATCCACCCAGAATCCGGTGTCTGTGCTCATCTAGAATCATCCTTAACAGTAAAGGAGGCGGGGGGGGGGTGTCTCACTTAGAGCATAGGTGTGACCCCCACGGCCAGGTGCTTGACTTGTACTCTCAACACACATCTACCGCAAGCATCTGGCCGGGGTATCACACCTATGATCCCAGCACTTGGTGTAGGTAGAGGAGGTATAGGTTTAGGATCAGGAGTTCAAGGCCATCCTCTGCTACATAGTGAGTTCAAAGCTCTATGTAAGACCTCCATCTCCCCCCAAACAAACAAACAAACTAACAAACAGTAAACAAGAAGTTAGTCATACTATTCCGTGCTTAGAATCCAATGGTCACCGATCCAGAAGACACTTCTGGCCACCTCCTGCCATGAGGTGTGCTGGTGTAGTCTGGGAAGAGAGCCACTCAATAAACAATAAAACATCCTGAGAAAGGGAGTGTACCAGGTGTCCCTGGAGGGTGTCTCCCAGTGGCAGGTGCTTATTTTGCACTGACCCATTGCACGGTGGTGGTATTCTAGCTGGACTATGTTTTTAAGTTGGCTCTCCAATGCCTACACTTTGAGCTCCGTATACAGAAGGTAATCGATAAATGTTCGCTGAATCAGCCCACAGGTCCTGAAATGGGCCTTTTAAAAGGTGTCGCGATGTTACAGCATGCAATGACCATCAATTGTGTTGTAAAAATGCTCAAAATGTTCAGTTTTAGGTTAAGTTCATAATTTTGTATGCACTCATAGGTACCGTGGGCCATGTGCTGTAGAGTAACGGGGTTTGCTTTTCACAGATGTGTACTAAAGACCTATAGTGCGAGCAGGAACAGGATCTGCTTTCTGCCGTAGGAGTAGCTAATGTCTCTTGACTGTGCCCTTCATGTCAGTTATTGTACAGAAAGCCATATTTTCCTTAGGTATTGAGCCTCATTCGACAACAATTTATGTAGGAATCGCTTCTTAAACAGTGTGGGAATCAAGGCTCAGGCAGGCCGAGGAACATGCTCTAAGCCCCACAGCCTGAAACTGGAGGAAACATGACTTGAAGCCTGAGCTGTCTGGCCTTGGGACCTTGCAGACATCACAAGCCAGTGCTTTATAGGGTCTTTCTAAATCTCTCATTAAATGTTATGTCTTCCAAGGCAGGGGACCATATCTAATCCATATTTGAGTCTGAAGCAAATGGACCAGCTTTCTCAAGATAAGTCCTACAGATCAGAGTCATTTTGGATGCCCATGAAAGGATAAATTCTGGGTCTCCAATTTACTGAAGTGGATGTAATTTTGTTCCCCAAACACCCACAGATATGTATGAGTTTTAGCTCCTCATAACTGTTCATATGATTTTATTTGGAAGTCAGGTTTTTGTAGATATTGTGAAGTTGAGAATCTTGCAGCGAGAGTATCTTACATTTAGGGTAGGCCCTTAATCTGATGACTAGTGTCTTCATTACAGAAAGGAGAGAGAGAGAGAGGCTCGGGACACAGAGAGACCTGGGGAGAAAGCTGTAGGGGGGCAGATACTTAGAGAAGAAGCATATGAAAACTGCCAGCAATTAGAGAAGTGCAGCCGTAAGCCGAGGAGTGGCCTCTGGCACACTGATTCTGGACACATGGCCTCCCTCACTGGAAGAGGAAGTTTTTATTATTTTATGTCATTTTGTCACATCAGCCACAAATCCATCTACTGCTGGAAAGAGATGAGAGGTGTATGCGTCCCCACACCTGCCTTTCTTAAAAATCCAAGCTGCCGAGGAAACTACCTTTCCACTTACTTAGCCAGAAGGGTTCTCTATGTTTGGACCTGGCCAGGTACCTAGCTAAGTTGAATTCAGTGAAGTATGGCTGGTGGCATTACCAAGAGATGTGGGCACCTAGAGGAAGCAGGTTGGACCAGGACCAAATGAGCTCTGTAAGAGAACACCATCTCTCTTCAGAAGTCCTGGTGTCTGTCCCACCTGGGTCCCTATGCCATTTCCCTTCCTGCTTTGAGCCCTAGGCTGTCTTTCAGTTGGTTTCCTGCACTGGTTTGGACATCGGTTTTCATTTGAAATGAGCCAACAGAGATCAGGCTTATTTCCCCCGTTGTAGTGTAGACAGCGGTGACAGCCCTGACTTAAATACTCTGTGTGAATGAAGGAGTCATGGCTGGTGCTTAGAGCTAGACATCCAGTGGCCAGGGAGGTGCCAAGTCCTCTCATTGCCACATGGGGTGAGCTTCCAGCCTTAGAGAAACCACAAAAGCAGCCGCACATCTAACCCACGACTTGTATTAGCCACTTTTCTGTCTCTGTGACTGATTTGACAAAGATAACTTTAAGGAGTAAGGGTTTATTTTGACTCATGCTTTCAGAGAATTCAGTCATTATGTTAGAGAGGACATGGTAAAGCAGTTCATGTCTTAGTGGCTAAAGAACCAAAGAGAAGAGAACTCAGGCCTCTTGCTGGGTGTCTCCCCCCTTTCCCCTTTTATTAGTCCAGGCCCCTGGTATGGGATGGTTCTGCCCAGATTCAAGGTGGATCTTCTCCCTCCCACTATTCTTCTCTGGAAATGCCCACACAGATGGCCACACGAGTGCTCCCTCCAACCTTCCCAGTGGTCCTCAATACAGTCAGGCTGATGATCAGCTCTTAGCCTAATCACTGATTCAAATTTGGTTGGTTAATTTGGTCAGTTAAGCTGAAGGTTCAGTTTTAGTTTAAACTTTCAGATGAAAACTCTTAGTTTCAGTGTTGACTTAGACTCTAAAGATATCAAGATACTTAGGGACAAGCCTGGACTCTCTGCCTCTTGCTTGGAGCAGATGATCAAAACCTTGGTTAAACTCAGAAGGAATTTTATTGACAGATGCTGTGCTGTGCCCCTCTGTACCCACGAGCATGACTTTATTTTGAAGTAGAGTCTGTGCAGACATCACAAAGTCAGTATGTATTTCTACTGCATGGACTGTAACCCATGTAACTCTAGCAGTGCCTAATGTTCTTGTAAGGAGAGGGACATATGGACGTAGAGGTACACAGAAATAGGATATGGTGAAGACACAGGGGAACGATGGCCAGTTGGTGAGCTAGGAAAAATTTGGAGTTATGTCAAGTGGAGAAATACTAAGGCTTGTCAGCTGTCACTGGAAGTTAGTCAAGGCGATAATGGACCTTGGCTTAGAGATATATTGGGGAACACAAATCTGTTGACACCTTGATTTGGGATTCTATTCTCCAGGACTATGAGAGAGTTGATTTCTGTTGGTGTGCTATACTTGGTGTGCGGCAGTGTTATGGCAAGTCCTGCCTAATATGTCCAGTACCTCTGTGATTAGGTGGGCTTTTTTTTTTTTTTTTTTTTTTTTTGCGGTGCTGGATTTGACACACAAAAGATTCCCCCCTCCGTATTTGGGCCTGCTTATTTCCTGGGTTTAGTCAGCCTCCCATCCTCTTAAGTTCAAGTCCAGAGAGGAAGTCAAAATACTTGTCTAATGTCCCATAAAACTCTAGGACACTTAACTTCTCTCTCTCTCTCTCTCTCTCTCTCTCTCTCTCTCTTTCTCTCCTCTACCTCAGTTTGGCTTTGAAGGCATGGTGATTCTTTTGCCCCCCTCCCCCCAAATGTTGGGACTATAAACATGAGTCATCATACCTGGCTTTCAAACCCCGTTAGAGGTCACCCTCTTATCATGTAGCAATTGCTTAGCAGTGTAGTGATCTGATGGTTTTAGGTCTGGATTTGGGCACAGAGCTCTATTAAGGCCTCATGGACTGAGGACAGATCAAAATGATCCCCAAATAAAACTGGGGGACTAGGCAAGGGAAAGAAGAGTTTCCATGCAACTCCTTTGAGCCTCCTATTTTCTTTCCCTTGCCTTTAAGAAGACAATAAAAATACTCTCTCTTTTTGTGTGTGTCTATCCTGGAACTTTCTATGTACCCTAGGCTGACCTTAAACTCATAGAGAGCCACTCTGTTTTCTGAGTGCTGGGATTAAAGTTGTGCACATGCTTGGCTACCTTAGGTGTTGTGAAGATGAAACATACTGATGCCTACTTGTCCTGAACCTTGTGCTTG